TATCTTATTCAAGTGCATTGGTCTCCTTTACTCCATGATTCGCAAAGTGTGCGCTGGGAATTCCTTGAATCCCGACACTCATTTCGTTGTTTTTATCGTCCGTGGCAATCTGCAACATCATTGCACCATTCGAATCTCGAAGTAAACAAAATGAGCCACGGGCTTCAGAGCCGATTTTGCAAACTTTTACAGGTTCCTAAGTGCACACTTTGATGCCCATATGTGCGTCTGTGTCTATAGCATGAAAAAGTCATTGATATGATTCTGTGGATAACTCTAAAACGCCGACAGGACAGTCGTTCAGCCCTTGCCTCCTGCGTCGGCCTCCGTACTACATGACTCGTGGAATATACCTAGTCTTGACATTTACGTGCTAGACTAGACGGAGCGTTCACACTTGAACGCGGATGATTGTAGTGTAGATCGATGACAAAATATTTGGGGTATAATCATTTGAAAACAAGTACAAGACTACATTTGAAAGTTCAAAGCTTGCGCTGTTTATAAGGATTACGGTGTAGCTCTCGTAATATTTTGTCCTAGTTTGGACGCACCAGACAGAGATAGCCGAAGATGGAACAAAGTACCTTTTGATTAACGGCTGATGCATTGATCCGTAGATCAAGAATATCCTGAATGGGAATGGCACAGTGGTTTTAAAATACAAAGTTGAGCACTGAAATATCCGCCATGCGATTGAACTGCTACGCACAAATTCTATTCAGACCTAGGTATAATTGGAAGCAGACCGCGGTCATTTCGAGCCCTATGATAGCATTCAAAATGGAGAGCTTTCCATGTTAATTCACCCCAACACTGTAGCGCATGCGCTGTAAGCAAAGGTCAAACATCGAATCTTTAAAACACATCGGCTATAGGAAGAAGTTTAAGTCAACTCCCTGCGCTTCATGAGAACTCACTGTGATGTGCTTCCTAAGCAATCACCAAATGCTTGTCAAATGACATAAGACAACTTTGCTTATGCTTGTGACAAACAGAGTTTTCGGAGCGAATAGATTAACTCGTACCTTTATATCTTTATATCCCTTAAGAACGGCCTTTTAAGCACCAATATGACCACTCCGCCCGCATCATGGGTAACTGCGGGTAAGATGTAAATTTGTTAGAATTTTGATAATGTATGAGTAAACGGGCTGGAAAACATCAGAAAACAAGAATTTATGTTGTTCGTAGATTTGGCTTGTCACAGCATTTAAAAGACTTAGGGTTTAATTACAACGTGTGCAACAGTGTACATCGCTAAAAGTAGCTTATCAGAACAAATGTTAGCGAACAAGCTCGTATTTAGTGGTTTCCCATCAGGCTAGAACGCCACAAATGACGGACACAAAAGTGAAATTCAGCTAAGGGTAAGGTTTCTAAAACCCAGCTGATCTGCATGACCAAACTAGAAGAAAGACTCCGCAGCGATCAAGAGTGCGTTACCGTGTATTTGTGGCGTTGTCCACAATGTGTCCGTGTTACAGCGGACCGGGGTAGCGTTAGTGCCTGGACACATTTTTTGTGCGCACAGAGGTCAGGGTCAGGAAGCCTGATATCTATTGCCTTGGACGCTGCCAGTAGACGACATCTAACCGCTCTTGTAAAGCATCTGGTGTGATGGGAGTATACACTCGAACGAACGTGCGGTGCCAGCCCAGCAAGGAAGCCGTTAGGCTGCCGCAAGGAAAGGCGGCAGCCGATTGGACGTTCACACGTTTCTCGCATGCACGCTGATTTGCCAGCAGTTGGACGCATTGGGGTGAGTTTGTTTGACTGAATCAAAGGAAAATGTCATGCATTCACAAAGGTCGTTAATTATGGATCCAACTAGCTGTATATACCGATATGTTTCACTCGCCCTCTGCCTGCGTATCCGCATGGTCCTGTTGTTTGCAGAATACACGTATTGTCCCTGAAGGACCGACTATTCACATGGTGTCAGAGAAGGAGAAGATCATTAGTACCACCCAGACGATGATTGGAGCTGCACCGGCTATTCAAATGCCTGCCCCGCTGAACATGGACGAACGCAGTTTGTCAAGCAACTGGCGTTTGTGGAAGAGCAAATGGATGGATTTCTGCACTTTATCGTGTCTGGACAAACAACCGATGGCGTACCGCCTGGCCATGTTTCGACACGCAGCAGGAGACGATGCGCGCCGCGTGCTAGAGACATTGCGTTACGACAAGAGCGAAGATGCCAACAATCTGGAGACAGTTCTTGAGAAGTTCAGTGAATACTGCGAAGGCCAAACAAACGAGGCATTTCAACGATACCTCTTATTTTCGCGGAACAGGCGGCCAGGTGAATCCGTTAAAACGTACGTCACTGAGCTAAAGATTTTGACCCAAACCTGCAATTTCTGTAAATGCATGGCAGACAGTCTCATACGGGACCGAATTTTTCTTGGGATCAATGACGAAGGTTTGACGAAGAGACTATAACGAAAGCGCAACCTATCTCTGCAGCAATGTATCGACATCTGTAACAGTGAGTCCTCCACTGCCTATCAGTTCCAGCAGATGGCAATCACAGGTGACTCAGAGTTGTGCGCCGTCTCCAGGAGTAAACACTACGAGGGCCGCGACCGCGCGACAGGAGCCCTGCTACTTCTGTGCAACACGACATCCGAGGAACCGCGAACAGTGTCCGGCGTGGGGCCGCATTTGTGTCAAATGTGGGAAGCGCAATAACTTCGCCCGCTGCTGTCAGACGACAGATGTCAGTGCACTACTTCCAGACAAATCAAAAGCAGACACCGAACAATCGATTGGTAACGTGTCTCGGAAAGCGTCGCAGAAGTGTGTCTATGCAAGTCTTCTGATTCAAATTGTCATAAGAGGACGCGGCGTGGTAAAGTGTATGGACTATTTAGCGATGTACAGCAGCAAGAACACGAAAAAGGGAGGATGTGATGGGAGTATCACTTGAACGAACGTGCGGTGCCAGCCCAGCAAGGAAGCCGTTAGGCTGCCACAAGCAAAGGCCGCAGCCGATTGTACGTTCACACGTTTCTCGCATGTACGCTGATTTGCCAGCAGTTGGACGCATTGGGGTGAGTTTGTTTGACTGAATCAAAGGGAAAATGTCGTGCATTCACAAAGGTCGTTAATTATGGATCCAAGTAGCTGTATATACCGATATGTTTCACTCGCCTTCAGCCTGCGTTTTCTCCTGGTCCTTTTGTTTGCAGAATATGCGTTTTGTCCCTTAAGGACCGACTTTTCACATCTGGGTACTCGGTAGATGGGCTTGAACGCCCTATGCGCTCTGACCTTGTGGCACGAGTCAACCAGCCGCCATATAGCCAATCTGGAAATTGTTCCGTTTTTCTCTCGGACAGTCTCCTGTTAGTTCTCCCGATGTACGTTGGTCAAAAAAACGAGAGAAAGAGTATACACAGATACATGTACTTGACTTGAGGGTCTGCATGTCTAGAAGCTTAGCCGTAGGCTTGCTGCAAAGTAGGTTTGAGCGATGGCGTCAGAAAGCCTTCTAGACGTCAATTCAGTCACTTTATCCCTTTCAACGGTGACGATAAGTAGATCTGTTTCTTTCCCATTGAAACCATTTTGCTTTCTCTTCTCGTACTTCCATGTTGCTCTGAACGAACCGCTATGGATAGCCATTACTAGCGAATGGGCTTCGTAACAATTTTGCTCGTCCGGAAGCATATCCTCGCTACCTGTCGTTTTTGCTCGCTCGGTTAGGCAACGAACAAGTTCCGTTTCTGGTGGAGCGGAACGAAATTAGCAAAAAGAGTATATTACCTGTTCCACGTCGTCTTTCTATGAACACTGTGCTGGATAGACCCGTCAGATCCTCGGCTAATCTGAAGGTCTAAGTACGGCATTGTGTCGTGGTCATCAGATTGAAGGGTGAATTTATGTTTGCGTGGACTGAGTTAATTTGCCTCCTTATTTCTTCGGTGCAAAAACGCCTATCTGAGATGCAGCGGTCGAGGCAATAGCTTTCAGACTTCCTGACCCTGACCAATGTGCGCACAAGAAATTTCCCTAGACATTAACGCTACCCTGGTCCCCTGTAACACGGACACAGTGTGGACAACGCCACACCTACACACAAACACACTTGTTCTCTATGGAGCCAATCACCTAGCTTGGTCACTAAAACCATCTGGGTTTTACAACCTATACGCTTACATGATGTTAACCTTCAGGTCATTCATTTGTAGTGTGTTAGCCTGATGGGAATCACTAAATACGAGCTTGTTCGCTAACATTTGTTTTGATAACCTACTCCCGGGATATTTTATCAATTGATAAAGCACGTTAATTCATTGTAGCAGAAAGCAAGCTATCCGCCATGTATAATAAAGTACTACAAAATTTTCACCTTATTTATTGAAGGAAAGCAGCTTTTGAAACAACATTTGCGTGTTTAGAACAATTTAGAAAAACCTGCGTCTGGATTACATTTGCTTTTATTTTGCAAGATAATTTGTCCTCCTTCAGATTGCTTTTGTTAATTTTACCAACTAAGATCGGTTTAGTTATGTGCAGTGGATTATTTCTCCATGCCTTTATCCTCCAAAACAATAATAATATTACTAACCATTATAACAGTACTGAGCTAAATGGTGAGAAATGTATGTCCCAGCTTCGGCAACTTAGTACCATAACATGCTAACGGCTCGCCTACATTTACTAGGTTGACGTTTTGTCGTTTGCAGCAGATTACATAGTCATTGTGGGTGTGTTGATAGGGCCAACGTTTAACGGCGAATCAAAGCTTTGGATTCTTCCGTGATACAATTCCACATTATTTATACTTGTTGTGTTATCTTTAATTGTCCTTCTTGGCTGCCATTTTGAAAACCATTAGGGACGCTGCACCGCATGATCAAACGCAGACCAAGGGAGATGTGCTCGAGAGTCTGCGGTTTCTGTCGTGGCATCTTCGATACGCTTTTGATCCAACGGAGGTGCCACTTATACCGATAATTGGAAATTACGATGGGTTCCCGTCAAACACAATGAGCCCATTGACGAAATCTCGTCAGAGAGCCAGTTGGTGCACCCGGCTGTCTACTGACGAAAATCTTTGGTTTTTCTGGAACGGATACATAAAAGAAATACGGGAGATATACTCCGACATTCCAAGTTTCGATTTTTCTACAAGTAAGTTCAATGCTGCCCTTCATGCGGTACGTCTAAATGCACCACTGTTGGTAGTGCCGGTGAAAGAAGTACCCATTTATGAATTTGTTTAATGCGTTGATGGCATTATGTAAATGGCTGCATGTCTGGAAGTGACTCCAAATGACAGGGCTAAAGGAATCTAAAGTTATTGTTCCCTGCAGTGGATGAAACGAATAGAGTGTATTCTTCCGAGCTTAGTATTTAAAACGGACGGTCTTCGAATATGTGTTTATTTAAATTGGGCTTTAAAGAAATTACCCACCGCTAGTATTTGCAGCTGGTTAAACAACGTGGCGATGAGATTAATTCTTTGACAAATGACACATGGCAGTTTGGTTTAAGTCACGCGTTGCTAGACGCAACTTACTACCGAAACATAGTTTAAATGAACTTACATCCGGTCGGCTTCTGAAGACACCACAAATAGTTGCCTTGTTGCATATAAGTAGGGAAATAAATGGTGCGGCGTGATTCATGAATTTGCAGACCTAAATTTTAATAAGTATAGGACAGCCACAGGGCCTCTGCACATACAAGAGACCACGGGTCGCATGCTATCAACCAAACATAGCTACAACCACACACCCCATATCCAGTGAAAACCGAAAGGAAGAAGGCAGGGATCATATGTGATCCCATATGATCATATTTCACAGGCCCACGCACAATCAAGAGACCCTTTTTCCCAAACTGAATAATGACGCTCAGCAGCTGAGAGCTCCAGGGATAAGTGAGCAACAACGTTTCCTTCTTTTTGCAGCTGTGGCAGAACAGCATCGAGATTAACATCTGATCAATCAGTCAATCCAAAAGTGCGGCATGAATCTTCAAAAATGGGAACTAAGGAGGCAGACGCAACTCATTATTCAGTTCATTGAAATCCATTTACCGATCGCTTCCCCAAATGAACGATGCTCCCTCGTTAAACCAGATAATTTCCTATTGCAATTTGAAAAGCGCAGGTATTCCATATTGTCTCATCAGTGCCTTCAACAATAACTCGCACTAACATTTATTCATAGAAGAGTGTGACCAAACATTTTTGGCGGCATTAGGTTCCCGGTTTGCCTATCAATGTGGCCTGCATGCGCCAGCCACAGGACAACTGCGCCTACAAGGGGACCATGGGTGGCTTGCGCTGCTACACGCACAGCTCTATCCACATACCCTATAAGCAGTGTATACCCATCGTAATAAGACCAGGAGGCATGCGGATGGGAGCCACGTATGATCAACGGAGCCGGCCAAAACTCCTTCACAAGCAAAAACAAGCACGCCGATTTTGTGGAATTAAGCTCACATAAGGCGCTGACTGCACCGTAGTCCGCACCGCACTGATTGAATGGCACCAATCTTTGAGCTTAGCACGCTTAGCAAGCTCATCAATGATCAGCTTGGCCGTAAGCGTTGTAACTACTCCGACGCACTCAGTGAATTAGACGATGAGAAATGCCAACAGTTCGATTCCTTCGTTCAGCTAATTATGGCTCGGCAAGTGGAAGTGCGGATAGCCCCATTACGGCGACAGATCGCTTCAATAAGGCAGAGAAACTAGTTTTTATCTGACCCTGAAAATTACGTGCACAATTTCTTCCCTTTGCAGTTAGATAGAACACAAATGGAAGTCCTCTCATTAGGCCCGAAATTCTGTTACCCCGAGGTAATGCACAACAGTTAGACTTGGAAGTCCAATTTGAAAATCTCTATTCTCAAGTTTTTACCTTAACACCATCGTCAGCAATAGCAGCTAAACAGTACAAATCCACTATTATAACCACATGCTACCAGTACCTGAGGTACAAACCGACCATCAAATATCTTCTAAAGAACAGGCATTTGGACGCTCTGAAGGAACTCAAGAAAAACCAGGATGTTTTGTTAGTTAGACCAAACAAAGGAGCCGGGATTATAATGATGAACAAGTCAGATTATATTGAGAAGATGAACACCATCCTAAGAGACATCGAAATTCCAAAAAGTGTAATACTAGAAAGACAGGATGCCGGCAATTGAGAAGACCATGACAACACCTTTGCTGCCTTTGAAACAAAATAACATCATAGACTCTGACACATATGAATACGTTAGACCTAGTGGAAGCGTGATTCCGAGGCTTTATGGCTTACCTAAGTTCCACAAACAAGGTGTACCGTTGAGACCGATACTATACATGTACAACTCTCTCTATCATCTGACTGTTAAATGGCTTGTCAAACGCCTCGAGCCGGTCAGGAAGCTCATATCTAGGTACAGCCTCCTGGACACTTGCGAATTTCCTGACTCGGTGCAACAACGCATTCTAGTTGGACGGAAGATTTTCTCGCTGGATGTGGTGTCACTTTTCACCAACGTCCCGTTAGAATAGACCATTGACTATCTCTTCGAGTTTATCCAATTGCATAGCATAAACATCGGTATTCCAAATGACTGTTTAAGGCAACTTATATTGGCGTGCACTAAGAACATTCAGTTTCAGTTCAATGAGACGTTTTACAGAAAAATGGGGTAGCTATAGGTTCACCATTAGAACCGCTACTCGCTGATGTCTTCATGAGTAAGTTGGAGAACACTCAGCTGAACGAATGTATCAACAACTTGGTTTACTACGGTCAATATGTAGATGACATATTTTGTGTTGCGGATGGTCGAATATGCATCGAAGATCTGCTAGCCCAATTCAATGCAGCATATAACTACATAGTATTCAGCATAGGACTTGAAAGTAACAACCTCTTGTCATTCTTAGATGTCCACATCACCAGGACATCAGACAGGACAGTACAAAGGAGAGTAAATAGAAAGATAACTTGGACCGGCCAGTATACCCGTCTTTGCCAGTTTCGTTCCAATGAGACAAAAACGCAACCTTGTCCATTGTCTAACGGAAAGAACGAGGAAAATATGCACGGAAGATACGCTTTCAGATGAATTGAGTTTCATTCGAAGCGTTCTCGAACAAAATGTTTATCCGGACAAATTCATCCGGATACACATGGAGCCATGAGCAACAAAAGTCCAAACAATCACCGCAGAAAACGCTTAATCTACCTATCACTGCCTTTCAAGGGTGATGCGATAACGGAACAAACTACTCGAAGGATCTGCAATGCGGCAGCGAGAACCTACTTTGCAGCCGACCTCCGTGTCAGCTTCACTTCTACGCCAGTCGTGAGTCAGTATCTCAAGGACAGATTACCGAGGCCGAAATTTCCTTCTGTGTGCACCGTTTTTCTTGCTCTTGTAGAGAAATGTATATTGGAAAGACGACCAGCAGACTGTCTGAGAGCGTCCTAGAACATTGCCCGGCGTGGCTCTACACTGGTGTCAGAAAGACAGTAGTCATCGCGCTGCTGGGGTATTTGGCCGACACAATTCATCAAATGAATGTGCGACAGGACTTCAGGCCTATCTACAAAATATCTGGACAACGCACGCGGGCCTTCTGATGTCGCCTATTAGAGACAGCGGAAGCAATTGCTGTTCGACTCCATAACCCTGACTTATGTGTTCAAAAGAAGTTCCTACAGGCTCTACAGCTGCCATGGCCTCAAGCGTCCCCATATTATGACACCACGATGATGTTCAAACCAGTGTCGTAACTTGATCGCATTGACCGGTCAATTTACTTCATTGATTCATCGTATTTAACTACACTGTGTGTGTTTTGTTCCTATTATCTGTGGTGTATTTGTCTGATGCGAACCACCGAAAACAAGCTTCTTCGCCTAACTGTTGTTTGGTTCTGATGATAACGCTGTGATTGTTTTCTCAGTTAACAGATAAATGTTCAATAGCACAACAAGATTCCGGGGCTCTGCACGTACACATTAACCACATGCCACATCAAAAGCAAAAAGCAGCATTCCATGAAGATAAATATTAAACAGAGCAGGAACTGACACACATCTTTGCTTCTCACCACAGATAACGACAGAGGCATCGAAGGTCGCTCCACTCAGTCGTACCTTCGGCCGCATGCCAATGTGCAGACATTCAATTGCACTTATACAGATATTCATACAGCCGACCTTACCCAATACCGTCCACAAGGCCTCGCGGTTCACCATATCAAATGCTTTGGTGAAATCAACCAACTGCGTGTACAACGGCTGGTGTCGTTCTCTACACCTACTGCAGCCGACAAGCCGCAACACGCATTTGGAAAGTGCAGTAGCCCGAACGGAATCTATATTGCTCTCCCACTACGTTCGGTTCCAAAACCTGACTACCGAGGCGGTTGAGCAGGATTCAGGCAAATAACTTACCTACACAACTCAGCAAGTTGACGTCACAAAAATTCATGAAAAATTGCTACCTACTTTAGCCCTTATACAGTGGAAGCACAAGGGCATCCTACAGCTCAGGATGCAGCGCAGTCACCAACGCGGGTCAACGGTGTTTCACTACTTCAGGCGGGATACCTTCGGTACCAGCACAATTGCTGGTACGCAGCTATGCAAGTGCTCTCTGGGTCTAATCTAGTGTCTAATCTAGGTGTCCCCCAAACTCACCTATGCATCGCGCTGCTTCTGACCATACAGTGTGGGATAATCTATGAAAGGTTGTCATAGGGATAATCAAAATGACTTCGCCAGATCTGCTATATGTCGACAGTATGTGTGCAGGCAACATCTGAACTACCAAGATTAGCTTCCTCAGCCACTTCAACCTCGGTCCATACGCCACCTTCAAGGATTTAAAGAAGCCCTTGTGTTGGCGTCATTCAGTTTAGTAAGCCATCTCCAACCACCACCTATGTTTGATACTATGGAGCTCTCGATTCAGTCGCTGTCGAAGATTGCGGAGCCAACTCTTAGTCCCCAAATCACAGGGGTCTGTCACATGAGCAGCAAATTCTGCATTCTTCTCAGACACCTATGCGTCAATCGTCGCATTGTTCGCATCATACCAGTCGGGTCGTTTACATTTTGAGCGCCTGATCGTCTCTTCGGCAGCATCTGTCACCTGATCGCGAATGT